TATTAATTATTTTTTAATATGAAGAAATCAATGAGGAATAATTAGTAGAAGACATATAAATGTGCCTTTGTAAGTAAGTAAACAAATACAATGATGATGAAAAAAAACAAAAAGACACAGTTGCTCGCCCAGCAATTCAGTCAAATTCTAGAAAGAAGACAAAAGAGAACAATTGAAAGTAGGTATCTGGCTCTTATACCTTGACTTGTTTACCAAGAGAACCAAATGTATAAGATACATGAACGCCAGCCTGCTAACGCCGACAAGATAAGGTAACAAATAAATGAATTATAGCACTATTTTCCCCAAATGATAGTTGAGGATTATAATTATCATAAAAATTAAAAAAGTAGATAAAAAGAACAAGATAAGTATGGTTAATGGGTATTTTTTTTAACAAGTAGAAATTTTAGAAGATTAAAAATTTAAACTAATATCATCCTGATAAAAATGCACCTTCAAAACTAACTATTAGTTAATCGACCCACAAGATTAGTGGTGGATTGATCGATATCTTAGTAAGATTATATTGAGGATGTGATGCATGTCACACTCTTGCTGGTTGAAATGTAAATGAGGCCAACATCCTTCCATCCATGTCAATAAGGTTTTCATCGTTTCAGTTGCTTTGCTGGTGTTTTTTCAATTGATTTAAAGCTTTGGCAAGACAGAGTGCTAACCTGCCTATCTTTTGCGATTTGGGTGGTCTTTTTTCTTTAATTATTTAGCAGTTTGCACAAACTTGTAAGGATAAACCCTGCTCCAAATATAATTTGTATAAAAAGATACATGCTGATTCTTGACATTTATGCTTGTTTTGTTAATTTGCACGGTCTGTGTGACTTTTGCGCAATAAAATGATACTTTGTTCATCCTCATCACTAGTGAGTAGAGTGCTTATTCTTAGTCATTGCCAAGATTATATTAAAGAAAAAGCTTTACCAGAGAAAACAAAAGGCCTAAATGCTTAATCATGCATCTGTTGCCTTACATTCACAACAAGTTTTCTATATTGTTCCCTTTAGTCTAACCAAGTCTTCCATTTGACCTTTTTTACCCTCTACAATCAAACCTTTTAATCAACAATCTAAGGGTAAGCACAACTTGAAAGTACTCAATCTGGGTATGCTATTATGATTTCAAGTCATAGACATGATGAAACAAGCTGCCAATATATCACTGTTAGTTTGTAACAAGGCATAACATGTTCAGCACGTTGGAGGTTCTAAATCCTAATTTCAGATACTGTATTTCAACTTCCACATGAAAGAAACAAAAACTCTAGTGATGATCCCAGCTGCTGAATACAAAACAATGAGAATATGTAACAAATAATACATGAAGAAGAATGGAATCTTTGCCTCAAGCCAAATTTCACTTGCAAATGGCTAGGGACAGAACAAATATTAACAACCTTGATGCTTTATTGTCACCGAAGCTTCATCTCATTTGGCTTGCCGCCCTTAAATGCTGAAAGAGAGAAGAATGATCTTGTTGCTGAAAAACATAGTAAAAAATGGTATTTATTGACTAGAAAATATGCCTTAACAAGTGGAAAGTAGTTATGATATCTTAATCGTATCTTCCCTTTATTTTAACCATATATTTATAATTGTTAAATTGCTATAACAACTAAATTCCCCTTAAAATTCTCAAACAAATATCCAATAGACTTTAAAAAATTCTTCAATGAATACCAAAGGCTTTAAAAAATTCCTCATTAAATACCCAAAGGGCTTTGTAAAAAAATATCTACTTTAAGAAATTAATATGGTATAGGAACAGATTAGAAAACTAATCTAGAATAGGAAATTAATTAAATTTATAAATACCTTAATAAAATATATAATAGCAAACTAACAACTCCATAGGCACAGAGAAAAACCCTGAAATAGTTTTGAGTAAGTCTACTTTATGCCTTTCTTTTTTTTAATTAGTTCAATATTTTAATAAAGTGCTACAGAATGGGAGTTTTT